GATCCTTACGGAGAACTGACTGTGTAACAGAAAAAACCATCCCGATACTCTAAGTGCACACTCACATAGGGGGTGGCGCACACAGACAGTGCTCCTGAGCACTTCCTAGGTAGTAGTTTATCCCATTCTCACTGAGCCTCTGAGGCCGCAGGGCGGCCGGGCTCTAAGGCAGCCGCAGGGACTTCTGCCTCCTGGCTGTCACACCCCTGCAGAGTCCTGCTCCACATGGAACAGGGTAGGCCTAAGTAGCCAGTAGGACATTGCCGAAACGATGGAGTGTGCCTTCCCTAGTTAGGTTGTAAAAGACATGGTCACTTCTGCCTCTCTCCCCGCCCCATTAGTCACTCTGGGGGAAGCTGGCTGCCATGTCGTGGGGACACTCAGGCAGTTCTACGGAGTTGAAAAAGCTAGCTGTACTCCTGCCAACAGCCAACACGCCAGCCATGTGAGTGAGCCATCCCAGGCCTCCGGTCGCAGTTAAACCTTCAGAAGTTTACAGCCCAGTCAACATTGTGACCCAACTAAGTTGTTCCCAAATTCCTGACCCATAGACACTGTGACAGATGGTAAATATTCACTGTTGTTTTAAAGTGTGAAGTTATTAAATAACATTGTCATTCCTGTTTTATAGATGAGGAAATTGAGGCCCAGAGAGTTCAAGTAACTTGTCTCAGGTCACACAGTTTACATGTAATTAACCCCCCAGCAGTTTTGCTCTATATAAAGTTCATGTGATGAATTAGAATCCTTCTCATACAGCAGTGAAGACGGAGGGGGAGGGCGGTGAGAAATACAGAGAGACAGTGACAAAGAGAAATTGGCAGCTGGTTCAGAGTACATTCAGTGTGAAGGACCTGGGCTAGACTTCCGTAAAGTGAAGGTAGTGAGCCAAGGGAGAGCTCTGCCGCCCTTGAAGCTCGGCTGTGACTGGCGCAGGACCTCAGGCTCTGACCCTGCCTGAGCATGGGAATCTGTGCCGCTCGCCTAGCGCAAGGTGGAAAACAGCAGGCTGGGGGAGATGTATGCAGAAGCCCCTCTGGCCTGGCCCTGGCCTTGGTGAGAATTCACATGGTCACACTTGCCTTTAACAAATCATCGCTGGGGACAAGGTGAGAATCAGGATGACCGAGTTTCTGGCTTGATGGGCGCCCCATTGGATGGGGGGTTCCACAGAGACAACCCAGTGTGGTTAAAGAGATTGGGATACACAGTGTTGTGGGGGCCCAGAGAAAGGGGCAGGGCCTCTCAGAAGGAGGCTAGAGGTCTTCCCAGAGGCAGAGACCTTTGAACTGGGGCCTGAAGGATGACTAGAAGCCAGCCAATGCAAGAGTGTTCTAGGCAGAGGGCAGCCTGGCAGAGGCCTGAAGCTTCCATTCTCAGGGGACAGGGTGAGGGAGCAGAGTGTGCATGGGGTGGGCTGCTGGGCCTCTGGTGGCTGTGGAGGCAGGACATGGAGGCTTAGGTGGGGCAGGTGTCGTGCTGACAGCAGGTAGAATGTCACCTGTTCCTGTTTCATGAGGAATTCATTGTACGTGGGGTTGGGTGAGGGTTTCCTGTGGAAACCTAGGAGTGGGGAAGGCCTGCAGCTGGAGTGAGCCCAGGAGGGAGAGAGAGGACAGGTGGGGACAGGAAGTCCCCCGGGCAGCAGAAGCTGCACAAGGATCTCAGTGTCCACTTGGTGTCTGGCGGGCACCACGGGCTGGGCTTCTCCATTTGCCCCTCACTGGAATGAAACAACTATGTGCTCTGGGAAATTCCCATTTCTGCCATGTAGGTTCGAATGCTGGCTCTGCTGTTTACTGGCTGTGTGACCTCCCCATTCCTCGGTGAGCTTATTTGTAAAATGCAGAAAACATAAGCTTGCCTCATGGGGCTGTTACAGGGACTGAGCGAGTTGAAGCATGTAAAGCCCTTAAGTAGTGCCTGACCACCAGCAAGTGTACAGTAAGTATTCACTATTATTTTTCAAGCATTTAAACATCATCGATCTAATACGTGTTATATGTCCAGCCTTGTATTTATCCTCTGAATAGAAGGATGATAAGACGTAATTCTCCTGGGGGCACAGAAACCTTCAGTAAAGGCGGGAACAAATCTTGGTAAAACCTGGCCTGTGCCAGAGACCCTGAAATTCGGGAGGGCTGGTTCACAGACTGATTCACAGCTCACAGACCGACTAGGGAGAGACAAAAGAGACCCAAGTTGGGTGGGGGCTGAGAGGAGCCCAATGGACCTCTGCCCAGGGGACAAGGAGTTGCCCATTTTGGCATCTGGATGTGCGTGAGACAAGATCCCTTTAGGTGTGAGATCAAGGAATGCCTGGGCTCGATCTGTGTTTTTTGAGTGTTGAGAAGTCCTCAGGGTGTTTTTGAACAGGGCATTATGTTTGAATAGTAGTAATATAACAGTTATTGTGTACCTACTGTATACGCATGCTGTGCATACATAATCTCAGGTAATAACATAATCCTCACAAAACCCTGTGGGGTGAGTATTGTCACCACTCCCACGTTACAGGGGAGAACCTGAGCCACGCGGTTAAGTGAGTTGCCCGAGGCAACGGACGAGGAAGGGCAGGAACTGACTCATGCCCAGGCCGTCTGCCACAGAGCCTGTGCTCTTAATCTGTCTTGCTGCCTCTGAACTTCAGTCAACACAATTGTCTTAAAACTAGAATGAACTTTGGAGATATCCCAACTCCCCCATTTTGCAGATGGGAAACTGAGGTTCAGAGATGGGGCTAACTTTCCGAAGACCACCAAGAAAAAAGGGAGGGTCTGGGCTGGGGAGGTCAGTCTGGTCCACAGGCGAGGCTCCACCCTGTTGCTCCACTGTCCCGGGCATCCCGCTGTCACCAGAGGCATCGCTGTGCTTAGAACAAGATCCAGACTTTACTGGGGCCTGTACAGCCCTCGGGTGATCAGGGCCTTGCCGGCTCCTGCTGACCTCACCTGGGCAGGCCCTATCTCCAGGCTCCAGCCCACCTCGAGGCCCCTGCACTGCTGTTCCCCTGGACAGGAATGTCTTTCTACCTGATTTTCGTGTGATGGGAGCTGTCTTAGTATGTTTGGATGGCTTATGAACAACAGAAATTTATCGTAATTCTCATAGTTCTGGAAGCTAGGAAGTCCAAGATGAAGGTGCCTGCAGATTTGGTGTCCAGCGAGAGCCCACTTCCTTATTTGAAGGACGCCCCTTTCTCACTGTGTCCGCATGTTGTAGATTTCTCTGGGGTCTCTCTTACAAAAGCACTGATCCCATTCACGTCCCAGTTTCCTCCCACAGGCCCCACCTCCAAACACCCTCACACTGAGAATTAGGTTCCAACATGTAAATTTTGGGAGGACACAAACATTCAACCTACAACAGGCTCCTTGTCATTCAGTGAAATGTCACCTCCTCAGAGAGGCCTTCCCTGATCACCTCTCTAAATTTACCTACCATCACTCGCACATAACCATGATTTATTTTTTCCATAGCAGTTTTGTTCATCTGAATTTTATTTTCTTGCTTTCATGTCTGCTTCTCCCAACTGAAGTGTCAGCTACAGGAGAGTAAGGAGAGACCTCATCTATTTCTACACTTTATCTCAGGCCTCAGACAACGCCTGGCATACAGTAGGTGTTTCATAAGTTTTTGTTGAAAGCAAGCCTGTATTTCATTGTCTGTCTGTTGACGGTCAATCTTCCACCAGTCAGGGACTTCGCAGGGGCTGGTACCATGCCCAAATGACCTCGGCACCACCTCTAGGCCCAAGGCAGGGCTGGCACAGAGTAGGCCTGGCACAGAGTAGGGCTGGAATGCATTTATTGTATGACTATGTGAGTAAGGATAGAAGGGGCAATGGCAAGAGTGCCTGCTGGGCTCTCCATCGCGTGGCCACAGCCATTGCCAAGGGGCTACCCACTATGGGGAGTAACAATAATAGGGCTCAAAAGGCTGCTGATGAAACAGCGGCTTCCAGGCCTGGCACTAACATCTCCTGAAGCCCCTTATTCCGTCCCTCTGCAATGGAAATAAGAGGGTGAGAGGGGAAGGGATGGTGGGCCTATCGTGGGCTTAGGCACCTGTGATCTCTTTTACTGGCCAGTGCCCTCAAACCTCATTGTCCAAAGAAGGTTGTGCGGGCTGGGCCTTGATTACCAGCAGTCAGCTAAACTCTAACCCTGGGTCTGCTCTCTGCACCCTGGCAGGGTGGGGTGGGCTGTGACTTTCCAGAGGAGGGGCCTTCTCATCCGTGCAGAGGCCAGCAGTGGCGGAGGCCCTGGGTATGCGTCCCCTATGGGAAGAAATGACACATCCCTTCTGTGGGTTCCCACAGTCCCTGCCCTTCTCCATCACAGCAAGGACATTGTTGTCCCTTCTGATTGTCTGCCCTCTGCCCTACCCCCTGTAGAGTGTGGAATGAAGGTGAATGAATAAAGTCTGTGCATCGGCCCAAGCCACTGCCCCACATCTTTGACCACAGTCACATGTGTAACATGCACAGATGTACATGGACACATTAACCAGCTACATGGATGTCTAATATCCTGTTGGAGCCAATGGTGGCTGCAGAGATTCAGTCCCGCTCTCCTACCTTCTTCCTGATCATGTACATCCTGGTAACCAAACTCCTATCCACCACCACTTCAGCCCCGTGTGCACACTGCACAGACCTGTGCACCCAGGAACACCATTCCCCTTCCTCCTAGGTCCACTCCTAGGCTTCCCTCAGCCTCCCATCAATCTGTCACCTACTCCAGGCAGCCTGTGCTGCCTCGCCTGGCTCACGCAGCATCTGCAAGTGCCCAGCACTACGGCCAGATTAGGGTCATGAGAGCCTGCTGAGAAAGGACTTGACCAGGGACGGGAGGGAGGAGAGAGAGGTGGCAGCAAGAAAGGAGCCTGGGGCGGAGGCAGCAGCGGGAGGGGGTGCGCGCGCCGGCGGCCGCAGCCCAGGGCCGGGGCCGCGCGCCCAGCCTGAGCCCGCCCCGCCGCCGAGCGTCACGGAACCTGCTTGAAATGCAGCGGAGGAGCCGGGGCGGGCGGCGGTGGCGGTGGCGGCGGTGGGGGCAGCGGCAGCCCCGGAGCCGCGGCAGGGACGCGGCAGGCTGACAAGCGGCAGCGGCAGCGACACCGGGTGCGCAGGGCGCGGCGGCCGGAGCCTGGGGCCCCGCCATGGGCCGCCCCGAGCGGGGCGCGCTCCGGCCGCTGGCGCTGCTGCTGCTGCTGCTGCTCCGACCCCAGCATCTTGCGGCGGCGGCGGATCCACCACACAGTAGCCAAGGTGCGTGCGGCCGGTCCCGGCTGGGCTATGCGCAGCCGTAGCCACCAACAAAGCGCGGCCCGGAGGCCAAGGGCTGGATTGCACTGCCCCCTGGCCCAGCCCGGTGCTGGCAGAGGCACCCAGTGGGATAGGTACCTTCAGACCCACGTATTCTTTTATCTCCGTCCCGGGCCCCCGCGGCTCCCAGTGTTGTGGGCTCTGCCCTCCTGCATCTGCTTTTGGGGGATGGGGGCAGTAACGGCCGGGCGGGTCGGGAACTTTGCTGGGGTGAGTTGAAGGGGGGTCATTCATGGTTTCGGATGGGCTGTGTGATTCTCGTCGTTGACACGCGCGCTCCGTGGCGGCGGCGAGGAGAGCCAGGCGACTTCCCCGCCTGACAATGCGTTTCCGGGGACCCCCTGAGCGCTGCCGAGATAGAGAGGCTGCGTTCGAGAGGGGGGATGTGCCCGCAACGCCCAGAGAGTGCTTGTGTCGCAGCGTATTTCGGGGCTCCCTGTGGGCTGTGTTTGCGTGGATCTCTATGGGCCGAGTGTGTGGGGGAGTATGACTGAATGGGGGGTATGCCACTAAGTCTTGTGACACCGTCTGTGTGTGCCTGGCCTTATCGTGACACGGAACTGCCCTCCATCCCAAGAACCGTCTTCCCCTCCATCGGATCAAGGGTGCTCGATGTCCCCTGGGTCGTTGCATCACCTCTTTTCCTTTACCTCAGGAGACCCCTGCCTGCTGCCAGGACTGCAGGGTCTGCGGATCCGGCTAACGCCCCCCCCCCCCCCTCCAGGTCTGGTCAAGGAATGTGAAGAGAACCAGTTCCGGTGCCAGAACGAGCGCTGCATCCCCTCTGTGTGGAGATGCGATGAGGACGATGACTGCTTGGACAACAGTGATGAGGAGGACTGCCGTAAGTGGCCAGCGGGGGAGGGAGGGAACAGTGGGAGGCGCCATGCTTAGCGCGCACGTGGTGGCATCTACCCGCCGGGCCACCTTCATGGACCTCACCCCCTCCCCCTAAGCCTTTCGGGCACTGCCTCCATCGGGACTGGGTGACTCTTAGCATTAAGGTGGGAGCTGGGCTGCAGGCTCAGCGTCCTAATGGGGCCGGGGATGAAGCCGGGGCGTTGTAGCACAGGAGGAAGGTACACCCCACCGGGTTGCTGGGTGGGAACTGTGGATAGGGACGCGACTGTTCCTGCGCTCGTCTAGCTTCCTGCGATGCGGCCTCTGAGACTGCAGCATCTGCTCCACTAAATGCGCGGGGGTAACAAAGTTCCACCCAGCTCCGGACCTCGCTGCACTACTTTTCCTGCTCGGTTTCTTTTTGTGAATGAATGGGCTCCCCGGGGCCCCTGATTGGCTGGGCGAGGACCACCCCATCGGCCCCCGTGGCCAGAGCGGCCAATCCTGGTGCGGGCACGTTGCAGTTTTCGGGGCGCTGTGGGCGCTGGGGCCTTGCTCTGGTCCCACCCAGGCCACACCCCTGCGCGCATCCTGCCGGTAGTAGGTGCTGGCGGGACTCCGGAGCTGACGCCCGGCGTTTTTCTGCCTAGTCACGGTGAAGTTCTTTTGTGCTACCCTGGATAGCTGGCCTTGATCTCCAGACCCTCTCGGGCATGAGTCCTGGAGCAGACCAGGAAGGAGGGAACCGGGAGGAAGAGTTTGTTTCCCGAAACGGACCGAGGATCCCGAGGCCGCATGTGATCCCCGGCAGTGTGTTAGTTGCAGGCAGTGTTTTCTGAATGTGGTGTTTTACACCCTGGGGCGGCTGCTTTGGAAGCTCCTTGGTGGAGTGCCCGCGGCTTCCGATGTCTGTGGGACCGGAAGTAAGTTAGCAGACAGTTGCCACGGTGGAGTGTAGTTCCAGGAACAGAAAAACAGGACTTTTAGAAGCATGGACTCAGGTGGTCATTCATTCTTCGTTCATTATTAGGTACCTGCTGTGTGCAGGCACTGGACACTTGGAGAACAGGCCCACCCCCATGGCCGGGGAGAACAGGGTCTGAGAACAGGGTCTGCTGCGGGAGGGGTGTAATGAGAAAGTCAGACCCGAAGCTTCACACGGTGGCAGGTTGGGGGCGGGGTAGAGGAATACCTGGAATGGCACTGACTTGAGTCAGGTTTTTCTGTTTTGTTTTTTATTTTTCAAACTATTTTATTCTATATTTAAGATTTTATTTATTTTTTATATTTTTTTAGAGAAAGGGGAAGGGAAGGAGAAAGAGAGGGAGAGAAACATCAATGTGTGGTTGCCTCTCACATGCCCCCAACTGAGGACCTGACCTGCAACCCAGGCATGTGTCCTAACTGGGAATCGAACTGGTGACCCTTTGGTTCGCAGGCCCATGCTCAATCCACGGAGCCACACTAGCCAGGGCTGTTTTGTTTTTTTAGAGTGGGATTGCCAGTCATTTTCCGAGTTCACTTTCTCAGAGTCAGCCCTGTGACTGGGGCACATCTTTTCCTCCTCCCTCAGTCTCCTCACCTGACCACTTGGGCTAACGATTCCTGCTTTGGTTTAGAGGACCAGTTCTAATAATGTAATCGGAAGTAACGAGAAGTAACGGGCTGTTGTTCGCTGTGTGTCCACTAGAGTGGTTGTACTTAGCTTACATAAACTCCCTTCATCTTTGGGGTCCTACTACTGTTCCACAGACTAAACCAGCTGAGGCACTGAGAGATGAAGTTACTTGCCCCACAGCTATTGAGTTGCTAAGTAGAAGCTTGCATTTAAGCATCTGACTCCAGGGTTCTGAGCCTAATCGTGATTACCATTTGCCAGTGCTATTGAACTTGTGAATATGGCTGAGCTGAGGTAAACTATTACAAATGAGCCTCATCGCAGGGAGTCGTTCTGGTGATTCCCTTAGAGCAGGAGTGCTGAGGGTGTGGCAGGGAAATAAAAACTGCATTTCTGGGCTAGTTTTACCTTATCTCCCTGATTCTTTATAATAGCCATCTTTCGAGAGTAGCTGTGAAGAACATTTTTCTCGTCGTCCTGTTTGTAGATAAGGGTTCTGGCTCAGAGAAGTTGGGTGATTTGCCCAAGGTCACACAGCAGAGGATGACAGAACTTGGTCGGGATGTCTGCCCCGCTCCCAGCGCAGGGGCACTATTTGGGGCGGTGGGGAGTGTGGTGCGGAAGGACCTAAACTGGTGATCGAGGAATGTTGGCCCTGTTGCTCTTCGTCTCTATGTGAAGCTCTGGGCGAGATGAAGATGTGAAGCGGGGGAGGCTGGGCGACCCGGCTGGGACTGTGGGAGCTCTGGGTTTCTGTTTTCGCTGCTCTGAGGTGGCGTGGAGTCACAGGCAGGGAGTGAACAAAAACAAATGACAATGACAGCTTGGAGTGAGAGGGGTGGGGGCTTTGCTGTGAGTACCACGTGTCAGCTCCACACGCTGTCTTCTCTGAGCTTGTTTCCTTGCGACTTGCCAAATGGGGGCAGCTGTTCCCCCATCATAGGTTGTACTCATAGGGAGTCTAAACACAGGGCTGGCACAGAGAAGGGAATGGATGAGTGCCCACACCTCCACGGTCTGTAGAAGGCGGCCTCTGGGAGCCACAGAGAAATCTTGAAGAGGGAGGGTAGGGACTTTGGGTGGCTATGTTGGGCCAGTTGTTCGAAAATGACCTTTCCTCATACCTTCCTTCCTCATCTGGAGAATTCCCCCCAGTCGTGGGCCACCTGCCCAAACCGCATAGCTTTGAACTCTCCTCCCTTCAAGGCTGTTGGCTTCTGCCTGAGCAGCCTCCCTACCTTATATCTGACTCTTCGGCACTCCAACCCTTCCACTCCCTGAGAGCCGCCCCACCTCTGTGCCTTTCCACCTGCAAAATGGGGGTTGCGATTTGTAAGGGAAGTCTGTGTAAGGCACACTGAGTTCTGGCTCCCAGGGAGGCCACAATGTAGCCTGTGAGTACCAAGAGCTGATGGAGGATGCAGGGAGGGAGCTTGCATGTTGAGCTAGCACAGGAAGGCTTCCTGGAGGAGACGGCTAGACCAGGCCTTGAAAGATGGTAACTAATACCAGTCCCTCAGGGCTTACCATTTAAAAATAGGTAGTGCAGTCCCCATTTTAAAGAAGAGAGAACTGGGGCTCAGAGAGGTGAAATGGCCACCCCAAAGTCACAGAACTCCCCAGAGCTGGGGTCAGCACTCAAACGAAGGCCCAAATCCCGATCCTCAGCCACAGCAGGTGGGGCCTGGTGCTCTGGAGATATGGGACAAAACTGGCAGGATGGGGAGGGGAAAGCCTCATGGGGCTTCAGTTTCCAGCTCAAAGGGCCTTCAAAGTGGAGGAAGGCCAGGCCCAAGGAAGCCCCTGGGTAGCCCGGCCAGGGGAAGTTGGGTGGGTCCCTGGCTGTGGACCTGGGTCACGTAGGCCAGCTGGTTCCTTGGCCTCACTTTCCTGTTGCTCCTTAGCGTCTGGGGCAGGGATGGGGCTCTGGTCTCTAGCCAGCCCTTTGCTCCCAGAGTGACAACAGTGAACGCTCACTGTGCACCAGGCACTGGGCTGAGATTCCATGTGTGTCACCTTGTGCTTCTCGATTCTATAAAATGGGCAGCTCTGTGAAGTACCTGCGTTATTCCCATTTTACAAAGGCGCGGAGAAGTTAAGTAACCAGCCCAAGGGTATGTGATCTTTAAGCGAAATCGCTGGGGTGTGAATGCAGGCACCCAGCTCTGGAACCTGTGCTGTCTCAGGCACTAGCTAGTGACCTTGGACCTGTTTTCCCATCTTGAAATAACACCAAACCCTCCCACTGTCCCTCAGCTCTGGAAAGAGTTCTGTGTTTTTCTTTGTGGATGTGCTGAGGGGCTGGGCACGTGGTGGACTGGTTCTGTGCTCAGATTCCTCTACCTTGTCCTGGCTTCTTTGGGCTGCCTTGTTCTCCCAGCCCCCATCACCCCTCCATCCCAGGCTTAATAAAGAGTGGCTGCTGTGAGGTCTCCCATGGCTGAGAGTTCATTAGTTGGGCAAAGCTGGGCTGCGGGAACACTGAGGCCTGCTGGGAAGCAGCCTTGTAAATAATTAAAGCTCTGTCACAGCTCCCAGCCGGGCTGCGGCCCATGTCTGCCCCTCGGTGTGCCTCCTGGCAGTGGCCCATTCTCACAGCCCTGACACCAGGCCCAGCTTCACCTCCTTTCCCGATGGAGTCATCCAGCAGACAGTGCTGTTCCGCTCTGAACCTCGGTTTTCTCATCTGGCCGGGCCGCTCCGTCCTTCCGAGACTCTGTGACCAGCTCTCATGCCCACTTCCCTGTAGCCCATTCCTGTCTCTCGCTGAGAGCCTAGGACGCCACCTGTAGTTTTCGTTTCACTCTCGCTTTCCTACTGCTTCTCGCCTCCGGGTCTTTGCACCTGGCATTCTGTCTGTCTCCAAGCTCTTTCTGCGCCCTCACCTGGCTACCTTCTTTTTGTCACCTTAGAAGATTTGGCTCTTTAGAAGGAGGTGTCACCTCCTCAAGGAAGCCCACCTTGCTACCCTCTCTCTCCAGGCTGAGTGAGATACAGGAGTTGAGAGAGGGACTTAGTGACCTGTGTTGAAATCACAGCTCAGTGGGGCGCTGAATCAGTCACACTTGGTTTTCTATGCCGCTGTCACCTCTGGCTGAATGGACTTGGGAGTGATAATAGTCCCTCCCTCCCAGAGATGATGTGAGGATTAAATGTGATAAAGTATCTGGCAAGCAGTAGATGTTCAGTGAATTGCGATGGATATGACTGTTCTTGGAGGGAGGGTTTTCCCAGAAGCCTCTTGGCACCTGAGACCCCCTGCTGCCCAGATGGGGCTCAGCCAGTGGGTTGTCCAGCCGCAGTGGAGGTTGCCCCAAGGCAACCTCCCTGGGAAGGGAGAAAGGTGCCCTGGGAGGGACTGAGGAAAGAAATGTGTCAAACAGGGT